TATATATATATAAAATCCTTGCTACATGTATTACATTTAGTTATATTATACACAACATAAGCCTTTTCCACAAATAGAGAAAATGAATTTTTGAAGAGGAAGAGGTAAGTTTGGGTCTGAGCTAGTATTAATGTCAACAAACTTCAAAAGTTGTGGGGATACAAATTATTTTCAAAACATACACTTTACACATTGTTATACATCATCCTTATACAATCAACACTGAGGTAAACAGATGAACAAGTATAAAATATGAGTAATTTGCTGTATGTAAAGACAAAGATGCCCTAGTTGACTCTTTGGAGGGCAAGTGAGGATTGTATGATCTAATTTTTAACAAATTTTATTCAATCCCCCTTGGAGCCAATGGCTGGGCAATCTATAAATAGAATCTAGTAAAGCCAAATGTCTCCATATCCACCCATCCATCCATCCTTCAAACACTTCAGTATTTACTCTGTGTGAGGCACTGTGCTGGACAGTAGACATCAGGATGAGTAAAACATGATTTCCACCCATCAGTATCTCAGAACAAAAGGAGAAATAGTCAAGTAATTATAATATAATGTGATGTCATATAACGCAGGCATAAGCAAAATATTATGGTAATCCTTGCCTAGAAGAATGAAAGGAAGAATTCAAAGAGAAGGTGTTTGAGCTGAAACTTGAAACAAAATGGAAGTGTTCCCAGAGAAATGAAGCTTTAGTTCCTATTCTAAAAGACAACAAGGCAGGTGTGGTGGCATACAACTGTAATTCCAACAAAACAGGAAGCTGAGACAGGTGTATCGTAAGTCCGAGGCCAGACTCGGCAACTTAGCAACCCTGTTTCAAAAATAAAATAAAAAGGGCTGGGGATATAGCTCAGAGATAGACTGCCCCTGGGTTCAATCCCCAGTACCACAATAAATAAATAAAAACAGAAGAAAAATTTCTTCCTATTTTATTTATCTATTTTTGTGCGGTACTACAAATTGAAACCAGGCCACTCTACCACTGAGCTATATCCCTAGCCCTTTAGTTTTTGAGACAGAGTCTCATAGAGTTGCTGATGCTGGCCTTGCATTTGTGACCCTCCTGCTTTAGCCTACTGATTTGCTGGGATTATAGGCATTGTACCTGGCCCAAATGTCTTTTTCAAAAAAAGGAAAAAAATAAGAAAGGACTCCAACAATGATTTGCAGAACAAATATCTCCTATATAAGTAAATGTAAAAGGTGAATGCTCTGAATTACCAACATAATGATGTATTCCCATATGGAAACTCCTTGTAGTCTCTGCACAATGTTGATCAATAACCCTGATGCTGTCAATTTAAGAAGGAAAAACACTAAAGTGTGCAAAGGGTAAGATAAAAGTTGTTCAACTAAGCACAGTTCCTTAAAGTGTGAGGACTACTTCCTAAATTTATTAGGAATTTTTTGTCTTTTTTTGTTCTTGTTGCTCTTTAAAGAGACAGTTAAAAGGGATTAAAGGCACAAGATGGGAACTTAAAATCCAATTGCAATAATTACTCATG